AGCAGAAACCCAAAGAAAGCAGAAACTGATCTTGGGAGGCAGTTAGGTGAAGTTAGGTTAAATTGGTCAGAGGGAATGTACAGAGATAACAGAAAAGGAGGTACTGAGATAACAGGAAAGTACCGTACCAAAGAATTTTTCTTGCACAGATCTTGGGGTAAGAAATATCTGTTTCTTGCAATTAAGCCAAATAAAAGTCGATTATCCTAAAATTTATTGGCAATATCATCATGCAATGTCCTCATGTCAAGTCAGTGTCCCTATGTCTGGACTTTATTATTACTGTATTTTTGTAATTGAAAAACGAATGTCCTATGGCAAATTGTCCCCATGTCGAGGTGTCCGCATGTGGGGGTCTCACAGGTATTTTTACACGTCCTCAGACATTGATTTCAAATTAGATCTTCATTGAAAAAAAAATCGTAGTACAGTACCGTACATTTGCCAATTTCATCAATCAAGTGTCCTGTCAAACAGAGTAAAGTACCTGAAAAAGTACAAACGAACTCTATAAACGCACCCGCAGACTTTCTCTTCAAATCTCAAGTACTGTACAGTACGGCAAAAAAAGTAAAAAAAATAAATAAAAATCACGGCGAACGTCTCATTATCCCATCGAATGCATTAAAACCTCGTAAACAGGGTACCAAGGGTTATTATCGCCTGCTGTTTACGACTCTGAGGTTTTTTGCTCGTAAACCCACCAGACTTTCGTGGGTTTCGGGTCTTGCCCGGAGGGGGAAGTGGAGGGGGGGGGTGTTTCCGGAAGAGGAGATAACCAGACTATTTATTTTTTTCCTTACATTTCCCTTCCCCCGGGGCGGTTTCGAAAGAACAAGCAGCCATCAAAAGCGGCTACAATTTCCTGATACTGTACTGTACTGTACTACACACTCTGGTCTGTGACACAATCCGGGTTGTCTCAGAACTCCCAACATTCTGTACCCAATAAAAAGCCCTTGCATAACTTGGGTCAGTCTTGGACAATGGAAGAAAAAAACAAAAAAGGCCGTGGAATGTAGTTCGTATTTTTATCTTTCACTTTCTCGTCAGACTAGTTTTTACGTGAAACGTAGCGCAGGTGTTGCCTGAATATTTGACCCACCAGAAAATGACCCGGCTGAACCCGAATTTTCCTTTCACGCAGATCAAAATTCCGTTGTGAAATTATTGAAGGGTCCTGACCGAGACTCCATACACACAATCCTGAATAAAAACTCGTTAAAACAGTATACCAACATTCAGAGCAACGAATGTATTTTTTCCCAATTCTTCCGAAGTTTTCCTTATACAGTGAAATCTTGTTACAACAAACTTGTGGGGACTCCAGAAAAAGTTTTTTTAAACAAATAATTTATCATCATGAGATTTTTAAAATTTTTGACGAATTGGAATATTTTCTAAAAAGTAACCCTGCATGAATTCAACATCATCCTTTTGAAACCTTTTCAGCTGTTTTGGCATTTAAAAAACTGTGATCTTCCAAAAGAAGTTTAAATGTTGATTTATTCTGAATAAATGGTCAACATCAGCACTTTCTGTTGTTCAAGGTTTTCTCAGCGAATTTATAAGGGTGGATGTTCCAAAAAAGCTTACAATTTCTAAGGCATCAGCACAGGGTTTCTCAAGCATACAAACCAATTCATACAATTCGTGCAGAAAAACAGGACAAAAGAATGACTTTAATTAATTTCCCATGAGCCACTTGAAAATTATATCAACAGACCAAAAGATTTCTTCAATCGAAACATTTCAGTCCTTCCTTCGATTCAATCTGCAATTATATCAACAACAAAAATGCACTAAAAAATTCCTTTTCCACGGTTCGGCCCAGAAAATGCATCATTCATACAGATATATTTGAAATTCCGTTCTCGGAGTGCTGTAACCATTTTTCAACGTACAAATTTCGATTCATATTCAGTGTCTACGACGACATTAATCTTCATTCCCCACGTGAAAATACTGCACCTAAATCGATCGAGATTAAAAGGATTTCATCTTCAGTAATCTTTCTTTTCTTGTCGTTGCTCGGATTAAAAGGTCAAGACGTAACTCAATACAACTCCCTTCCAGCTGCACTCGAACACGGATTCGATCGATGAAACGACCCCGAAAAATCAGAAAAATACGTATCAATTTCGTTAGAACCAAAAAGAAAATAAATAAAAATTCCTTAAAAAAAAAAAAGGCCGGACACGAAGAAGAAAGAAAAAAAAAGATCACCTGTTGTTGGATGTCGTTCAGAATGGCAGTTTTAGATTCGGACTCGGAACCAGTGTATTCAGTCTGCACCAACGTCTTCATACTGTCCTTGAACAACTTGGACAATTGGTCTTCGTTCTGCATGGCCAAGACCAGCACTGTCACCTCGGCCACGAAAATGATCAGGAGGAACACGAAGAACTGCAGCAAAGAAACATTATTTTTTTTCAAAATTAAAAATGTATAAAAAAAAATTTTGTTTTAAATAAAACATTTTTTTAATTTTTTTTAATTGAAACATTTTTCAAATATTTTTTTTCGAATTCAAGTAACATTTTTTATCTGGATCAACAGCGAGTGTGTGGTTTGTGAGACATTTCCTGACGCGTTCATCCTGTTATTTGAACGCAATTTGAACCGTTTCAAGAGAATATGAATGCAAACTTATTGTGACTGAATAATTTGGTACCTTAATATACTATTGTACCTGCACACTGGCTGCTGTTAGATGACAGCCATATTACTTGAATACTAGAGATTTTAATCTGTACCTTTCAAGGGCTTTAACAATTTAGGTGTGCAGAAGTACAGACTACAAAAAGATGTGTGTTGTTTTTTGTGTGTGTGTGTGAGATAGTGAAGGTCATCTCTTTTTATCTCTTTATCCATTGTGTAGTGTGATTGATTTTGTGATCTGTGAATTAATTTGGGGTAAAGAAATACAGTTTATATTTTATCTTTTGGGATTTTCTTTAAGGAAATAAACTCCTTAAGGAAATCTCCAGCTGAACCCCACAGCTGAATGACGCGTTTTATTTTTGGATGTATCACCTTTTTTCTGCCTCCTTTCGTAATTCTTGATTACACTTATCAAATTTTGATGAAATGCACATTTCAATCATTTTAATGCAGTCAATTAAAATTGCGTGAGAACAGAATTTCAACAAAATATCAGTTGAAAGAGATAAGTTAGCCAGAATTTTACAGTAAGTCCCCACACAACAAAAAATTCGCAAAAACAAAATAAATATTTTAGGGACACATGACGAAGTTGTTCCACATAATGAAAATTTTTGGCCAAAAAATGCCTGTATTTGATCAAATTTTCATTTGAACCTCGTAATTTTTCAAAAAACCTGAAAGTTATGAGAAAATGAAAGCACAGTTTATTCATCTTTCTGTATTTGAAATTTGAAAAAAAAAATTCAGAGAATCATGCGCAAGAGTTTTGAAGATTACAGTACTTCACTTTCATGCTAAGAATATTCAAAACAATTTTCTACCGTTAATACATACACACATGTATAGTTTATTGTGGTCTTTTGGTGAGAAGCTGGACCCAATTGAATCAATTGCTCTCAGCAAAAGTTCTGTACAACGAAATTAATCCAATAACGCATGAGTATCGTTATGCAGGGACCCACCGTGAGAAAAAAAACCTTCGAATTCATCAATAATAAATTTATGCTTCAATCACGTTTAATTTGATGTTTTGAGGGCTTCAGAACTTGAAGAAAACGTATCTTGAATCCCCATTACCGCTTTCACGCGATTTTTGCACCTCAATTGTTAATTTGCTTCTCCTTTTTTTTTTCATCACTCGATCTTGAATGAAAGGAACCACAAATTTCTCGCACGAACAGCTTTCGAAAACACACAACCACGCTTTCATTCAAGTTCGTGAATAAATGAAGAAATAGACAGAATACAAAATGTAAAAAACATAATTAAGGCGAGAAACTCACGCTGCATAACATGCACTGCGACTCTTTGAGAGCCCCGCAGCAACCCAAGAAACCCACGACTAGCATGAGGAATCCAATGGCGATGAAGACATAAAGGCCCTTGTTGAACTCGGTGGCTTTCGCCGACACTTGGAAATACGTCGTGGTGTCGAAGTACAGCCAGAGGGCGACGACCAGGACCGCCAACCCCAACAACTATGGAAAGACGAAAAAAGAGGGGGGAAAAGTCAGTCAAAATACTATCCTTCCTCCTCATCTTGAAGGAAAAAAAATTTTCAAATGACCATTCTTGAACAAAGATTATTCCGTGATTATATACAGTGAGACCACCACATGCAGACACCTTGACCTGGGGTCAATTCGACATAGGGACATTTATTTTTCAATAGAAAAAATCATTAAAAAAAAGCCTCATCATGTGGACATTGACTTGACATGAGGACATTGCATGATAAAATTGCCAATAAATTTTACGACATATTAGTTAAAAGAGATAAGTTAGCCAGGATTTTTTTGTGTGTGGATATTTGCCGGTCCGCAGGCCCAAAAAGGGTACTGGTCTAGTCAATGATTCAAGCGACATCTGTCGACAAATTGCATGCTGTACTTGGCGGCGGCCAAGCGAAAGAGAACCGGGTTTTGATACGGTATCTCGTTCAATCAGCACTCGAACAACTTACATGGTACTTAATTGTCACGACATAATCAGATAATTATATACAGTAGCAACATTTTCAGAGGATTTGACAGAAGCACCGACGGCTCATTTATTTTCCATCTCCATCATATTTACTTGAGTACCAAGCGGATTTTTTTTTTTAAATCAAGTGGAGGAAAAAAAGGGTTAATAAAAGTTTTCAAAATTGTAAAAGCACAATTGCGTTTCACACTCTAGTCAGAAAATTCAATAAATTTTAACGAACAGTTTTTTTAATTGCATCGAACGGAAAATCAATGTTATTTGTGTTTAATTCAAGTCGAAATTGAAATTCTGATTTGTTTCTTTAAAAAAAACACAAACAATTTTCAGTCACTAAAATTGGTGTTTGTCTTACTCAAGGATATGTTGTTCCCCGATTTTAATATGAGAAATCGACGTGCGCGTTTGATGTTACAATTTCGAAAAAAAAATTATTCAAGTAAATACGGCATTTGGGGAAGAAACATAACAATTTCCTGTTTTCATTCCAGGAATTTCGCGGCTGATTTCGCACAAAGACAACACTTGACAAAAAAATAATAATTCAATCGCGGCGAGCCGAGACATTCAATATTTCCCTCTCATCCTACTCCAATAAATTTCTGAACGATTCCTACTGATGCAATAACATGGATTTCGTCAGAAAAATCACCAGAAATTTAAGACGAATTAAGAATAAGGTGCGCTTCTCATGCGATGAAAAGTTGACTGTCTAAAAACACGGACAACCAACACTATGGAAAAAAAAGCCTCCTACTATTCATGTTCTATAGGAAAGCAGCTTTTACTTGGACGAAAACTCAAGTCTATAAAATCCAAACCTCATCACAAATCCAAATGAGAAAAATGCCCCCCTCCTACTCAATCTTGGCAGTGAAAGGCATGAAGAAACTTGAGTATCGATTCAAAGCTGGTTTTTTTTTATAGAGCAGCCTGCTTTTGGGACTTTTTGCAGTTGCGTAAGACCCCAGAAATGATTGACGGTGGGTTCACGGAAATTTTAGTTTTGGGTCTAGAAGAAGAAGATGCAAAATTTTTACAGGCAAGAAGAGGGAATTTTCTTAAGCCTGTGAAAATGAATCGTCCACGTCTATAGTACATCAAAGAGTTTAGGTTATTTGTGGCATCCAAATTTAGGACACGCAATACAGATTTGCAAAGTTGATCGCAATTAATTTACTACTGTATAAATTAATGTATCACCCTGCAAAGTCAAGACTGTAGTCATAATATTGACTACAATATACAAACCCCTTTCTGAAAGCACTTATCATTTAAATGTGTTCAACTATGCACCTTCTCTTCTCATGTCCAGCATTTCATACTGATAGAAACAAGCTTAAGAAAGATTTACAAGTACTGGAATTCAATGAAGAGACCCTTTCTGAAATCTTAAAGGATCAAGATGAACTGTTAGCTTTATATGATTTCTCATCAAAGATTCTCTATAATTTGTTCATTCAACTAATTGAACCTTGTGAACGCTGAAAAGCGGCAAATAAAGTGTTCTGATCATTCATTCATTCCACTATGCTTGGCTGTGCCTAGAGCACAAGTCATTATTTCACAATCCCATTGCCAACCAGAATTGCTTTTCCCAATCTTGTTCATGTTTCTTTCTTTCACCATGCAATGAAGTATGACATTCCCAATCCAAATTGGTTGCTATGCACATTCCACAACCTTGGCTGACCAAAGTTATGAATACAGGTGTGTTTTTAGTTGAAGTAAGCTTACCACACTTGGACACCAATCAGAAACCTTGTTGTTGTTGCTTTGCTCTGCAAGTTACATTGTATTGTAAAATACTGCGTGGAAGTTGAATAATATATATTACTTTATAATACTTGTTCAGAGTAACTTTTGCATTTCCTTCGAAAGCTGCGGAAGATGATTCAGATCTCCAACTCAAGTCATATACGTCAGCAATTAAATTAACAATAAGGGTCTGATCACCACTATTTTTTTATTTGCTTCCTGATTTAAGACAACATTAAAAACTGTTGGACAACTCAATGGACATTGACAATTTTGAATGCAGAACTAAAATGCATCCTCTCATTTTTTTCTTGCCCTGTAGCAAAATCAGCAAATTTTTCCCCTTGTATTCAAGTAAAAACTGAGGCACAACATTCATTCTACATATTTTACAGTTCAAATAAAGATCCTCAGAAAAATAATCACTTTGAAAACTTTGCTATTCAGCAAAAACAAAAATGCAATCCTGAAGAAATTTCGTGTACAGTATTTGCGACAGAAGGAATCGATCCTGAAAGCTGAGAAGCGGGGCTGAAAAGTCCTTCATTATTCTCGTGCACGAATTCGGGCGAAAACTAGGCACTTTCTTCTTTAATTTTTTTACGAATGAAAAAAGTAATATCCACACTGTGGAAAGAGGGGGAAAAAACATGATTCATGATTCCGAGGATGAAGTTTTTTGCCCCGAACAAAATAAAATGAAGTAAAAATCCGCATCTCACTTTTCCCTCTTCAGGAAAACGACCAAAAATCACGACAGAGAAACACTAAACACGTATTTAAGGTCTCACACACGAAGTTTCGACTGGAAGAAACACGCGGATTTTTCACAAAAAATAAATAAATAATACGTCGCTTATTCTTCATGTGCCTTTTCTTTTTTTTTCTTTTTTTTTGCAAGAAAGTGAGGATCAACATTTTAAATATTTCTGCGAAATAAAATAAATAACGAAAATAACCAGCGGACAAATGACACAACGGCTTCACGTCTCAAAAATTCACTTGGAAGGTTTCAACTGCTTTTCCCCTTATTCAATTTTCGCTCTTGTTTTTTCAAGACCCTAGGCCTCTGGTCATTTTGAGAAAAAGTTCTGACACAATGCCAAGAAAAGGTTCGCATGTCAAATTCTAAGCAGGTGCACTGAGCCATAAGGGTTAGCAAATAACACGAGGGGGTTCTCAAAAGTCTTGACTGTCCCTTATTACAATTTTCATGATATACAGTACTGTAATTATTGTACAGTACTAGTCAAAAATAAGGAAAATTGTTTTTGCGACGCAACATATTTTGACAGTGAATGCATTTCAGGAAACCAAGTTTCATCAACCAACATGAACAAATTGCCACGACGCGCAGAAACTTCCGAGAAAAACCCCTCCCTCACATAAACTTCTTCCTGCACTTTTTCTTCTTCTAGTTTTTTTTTTTTAATCTTCCTTTCTTTCTCCTCTAATTTCCTCTCGCAACAAGACTTTCTGCTGACCCCAGATGTCAATGAATCTGCGCCCAGGCGGAAGAGAGAGAGAGAGAGATTTTCGTGCCCCAACTTTTGCCGGGTATCGCGGTACTCCTGACCCGGCTGATCCAATTCCCCCCCCCCCCTTTCTCTATTTATTTATTTTTATATTCCTCTTTTGCCCTATTTTCTTTCTTTCCTACAATCACGCCCACCTGAAGATAAAGAAAAAATATATATTTTAAAAAAATAAACGAGGGAAAAATCACACGCACTCCGTCGGGGAGTCTCGAAATGCCGACTTGCGCAAGAAGAAAACTGCCGACCGAACGTCTGTCGCAATGTAAAAAAAAAAATAAATAAGAAAGGTATGATAATTTCAGAAACTGCAATGTGGTAAAGTAAAAGCGAGAGTGAGATCAGTGCATTTTCTTCTTTGTTTTTGTTTTGTTTTTATCCAGCCCTAACAAAAATTGCCAGGAACTTTCAGTTGTACAGCTTTCTTGGGTTTCAAAAAAATTAAAAGAAAAGGAGACGCGTGTCACGATATCTCCTTTCTTGCTCAGGGTTATTATCGTATTTTCGAATTGTAACTTCAAAATTGATTTAAATCTCATTACAAAAAATCCATGAGGACAAGGAAAAAAGCTTATTTTTACTTAGAAGATATTGTTATAAAAAATTCCAAACGTGAGACCTCAAGATGCGGACGTAATTGGTGCATAAAGAGTGTCCTTAAGTCAAAATGTCCCAAAGTCGAGTCTCATTTTCCCTTAGACTTATTTTAGGTAATTTTCAATTGGTCTTTTATGTTCAAAATACTCACCATAATTTCATGAAAATGAAAATTGTCTCCCAATTTAAACTGATTCCAATCAATATATTTCAACACAATATGGACATTTGGGGAGTTTAATACTAATACTTCTGTACAGTAAATAGAAANATGTTGGCATTCTCTGTAAAAATAACGTTCAAGTGAAAAGGAGAGAAGGAAGTACCTCTATGCTAGAGGTTTTTTTTAATTAGCTAAATGGATGGTAAATTGGTGAGAGAAATGTCCAATAACTTTTCTCACATCAATTTTATGGCTGGAAATAAATGTTTCTCATAATTTAGCCTATACCTTATTTGCAATTTCATCACAAAATGTCCCTATGTTGAGCCAGTGTCCTCAAGTCGGGCCTTTTTTATTAAAATTTTATGAGAAAATAAGTGTCCCTACGTCAAATTGTCCGCAGGTCAAGGTGTCCGCATGTGGGGGTCTGACTGTAATAATGTGGCTACTGGACAGACAGAGACCTCGAAACGAATTAATGTAAGCAGTAATTCGTTTTAACGAGATTCGTTGTAAAAAAAAAACATTCTACTATACAGTAATCTGAAAAAATATATACATATTTTTTTCAATTGTTACGTCTTTTTTACGGCTTTCGCCGAAAATAAATCCCCAAGCTAAAGGTACATTAATTCAATTACGTTCCGTTGGATGTCCCATTCTACGATTATAATTAAGATACATTCGTATAATCACCGAAGACACTTGAAAAAAATTAATGCCCCCCGAGACGTTTCCAAGTACTTTACTGGTACTAATTCCGTTCTCGTCGTCGAATGCAATTGTCCTCCGATTACAGTAATATCTCCCAGTTGTCCCAAAGATTTCTTTTCTTGATAATGCAAAAATATGGGGTCGCATTTTCAAAGAGAAAAATCCCAGGAGCGGAAAAGAGGAGCAATCCTGTCCTAGTTCCGCGCGACATTAGCCTAAAATGTTTTTTTCAAAACTACTGTACAAAACAAATCTCGTCATCAAGAAAAATTCACTGCAACGAATTTGTTCTACAAGTCCCAGCCCGATAGCCACCTTTTTCATGCGAGTGTCTTCACGACGATTTTCTTGTTCCAACGAAGCTATTTTACTGGTCGAAAAAATGGCTTCGTTCTATCGAGATTTTACTGTATAGTCATGAAATTGATAAAGTCCAACACTTCTTTCACCAACGTAGTGTAATAACTTGAAAGTGTCCCAGAGACGGAACCGTTTGAAAATCCCGTCATTTTTTCTTGAGCCAACGGTTCACAAAAAAGGAACCCATTCACACAGACTCAAAGAAACCCTCAAGCTAAAAAATTTTTAAAAAGTCAATAAAACAAATGAATGACAATGATGTTGATTGAAGAAAAAGGGTCTGTGTGAATAGTGAGCACATGTATGTGGAGAAGATGAACACATCCGTCATCTGATATAATACGGGCACGATGACGTTTAGTCCTCGCTCGTATTAAAGCATATACTGTATATTTCCGACTCACCTTCATCAACCACAACAAAATAAATAAAGTTACGAGCTTTCATCAAGATACATGTAATTAGTTCACAGTTCAACACCGTTTTTAGTACATTTTAAACACTGCAGCATGTCAGAAAACTTGATTGAACCAACATTTTATTTTCGTAATTTCCCGAATCGCTGAATTTTTCCAGTATTTTTTCTTCTTTCTTCCCAATGAGATGAACCCGGTACAACTACGGAAATCTCAATTTTCCCCTCATCTATATAAAAAAAAAATAAAAAGACAGCGATGACTAAGAATCAAATCAAACTCGGTTATGTTGATAATCATCAAAACGTTTTCCGAGGGGTTTCTGAAAAGTTAAATATACAGTACATTTCCACTGCAAGCAGATAATTGATTCGACGATCATTTCTCTTTGAAATATTTCCATTTGAAGCGTCAAAAAGGGAATACCAACACACACAAAAATACATTAAATTGAGAAATAATTAGAATTAAAGTGATACCCCCACATGCGGACACCTCGACATGCAGAAAATTCGACATAGGGACACTAACTTTCCCATCAAAATTTTTAAATAAAAGGCCAGACATGAGGACACTTACTCGACATGGCGACATTTTGTGATAAAATTGCAAATAAGTTTCAGGCGAAATTACAAGAAATAGATATTTCAACCCTAAAATTGATATAAGAAAAGTTCTTATGCATTTCTCTCACCAATTTACCATCCATTTAGCTAATTTTAAAAAATTATCTCCAGCAGAGAGGGAATTTCTTCTATATTTTTCACTAGAATGTTATTTTTACAAAGAATGCCAACATATCTATGTACAGTACAGAGGTATCAGTATTCAATGCTCCAAATGTCCATACTGTATTGTGTTAAAAGATATTGATTGACTCAGTTTCAATTGGGAGAACAATTTTCTTTTTTCATGGAATTCTGATGAGTATTTTGTCCATAAAGCAACGATTAAAAATTATATAATGTAAGTCTAAGGGAAAATAAAATGAGACTCAACTTAGGGACATTTTGACTTAGGGACACTCTTCATGCACCAATTATGTCCACATCTTGGGGTCTCACTGTAAATATTCCATGCTTCAGTTTTCAGGCAATTATTTCCTAATTCGGACTGAGTTTTTCCCCATACTTTAGTTCAACTAACCAGTCAACTAAAATAACTCATGTACTAATTTTCAAGGTCTTCATTCAAATGTGTAGCGATTACAAAATAGCCAAAACATTGTCTTTTAACTGATTCGCACTAAGAATCACTGACAGTCAATTTCCACCAAAACGTTTTGAAGCCACAAAGCGTTACGAACAGTCGTAATAAATCAGGTTTCGGACAAGAGTAGTTTCTCAAAATTTTCATCAGGGTTCTCTGACTAAAAGACCATCAAAGAAGTCATTGAGAAATTAAAGCAGAATTCTTCAGGCGCCCAAATTGGATTCTCAATTGCATTTGATTTCTAATTTTCTCAACGAAATTGGAGGTGTTTCTGAAATAAGGAATATTATGGGTAACCGTGTTCTATCTGACCGACGATTTATATCATTTTTTTAAAGAAATTTCTCATATACTGTATTTGAACAATCATTGACGTTCATAGCGCGATGAAAACAACCAAGAAATTCGGGTTCAAAAGTTACGATTCATTCGCACTGGAATCTCCTCCCGATTTCTCTATAGTCTACAGAACTGGGACATACGAATACATTTTCTGTACTGCACTAACACAATTTTTACTTCCCTTCCTCTTCCAAAATTTACGTGATGAAAGGGCAATTGGTTTTTCGTAGACAGCCTAATTCGGCGATTCGGGCCAGCCCTCAGGGCCAGGTGGAGAATTCGTAAATCAAGGGACTCGACTCGACTTCACGACATTCCACGACTAGAATACGAGACAAGAGGAAGAAGAAGAAGAACAACAACAAAATACAGTAAAATAAAATTCCGAGACGCCGTTTGGATGCTCATTTAAATTCCTCCGAATATACGAGGATTCATTCCGGAGAGATTCGGCATTATCCCCGCCCACGTGCTCCCCTCCGGAAAACACAGACTTCCTTCCTATTCATTTCTCCCAGTCCGTTCTCTTGTTCTGTGATAATTAATTATTTCTTCCTTCCTCTTCAATCATTTATTCAATTTTTTTTTCGCTTTCTGCGAAAACTGTCGCCTGGTTCTCAGCTGCTGCACTTCGCGTTACTCGCGAACTCTGCTGTGAATATGGAACGTTTGAAAATGCTGCAAAAATATTTCACAAGATAATTTTCACTGCTTTTGGGAGAGAAAAAAAGCGAGTTTTTATTTTGAAAAGAATGGAAGTCTAAATTCAAGGGACCAGCAAAAAAATTTGACTTCAAGAGGTTGTTGTGACTGGAAAAGGTTGAATCACCTTTTGAATAAAAGAGTACAGGAGCCAGCCGGGCTACGGCCAGGGTGCTTGACACCCTAGTGTAAAGTTGGTACAGTCAAACCCCAATAAGAAGCCACCATTTGTCCAGAGCAATTTTGGCGGTTTAAAGAGGTTGGAGGTTTATTGAATATTTAATTTTAATTATTTGATCAAAAATACTCAATTTTCCTCCAAAAGTCATAGAGATGCAGGTTATGCAAGAAACTTTAGTAATTTTCCGAAGAGTATTGCTGTGATCAATGGATTACTCTTTCAGAGAATAAATTTTGCTGCATCAATTTATTCAAATTTTAAGATTTGGTCAATATAATTTTCAACAAAATGATCATTAATATTATTTTCCTTACAAATACAAGATCCTTGGCAGAAATTATAATTCTACCCCAATGTTTGCATTGTAACAAAGACAAAACTAATTGGAAACAGCACTTTTGTTTCATCACTAATGCTGGCGGATGGCGGTTGGCGTCTTATCAAGGTTTTCTATAGAATTTAACATAGACGAGATTTGTTTCATTTGAAATTTTGGTGGTTGCTGAGGGTGGCGCTTCATCAGGGGGCATCTTAACGGGGTTTGACTGCATATTTGACAAAAAGCAAGCAATTGATTGCAAATGAGAGTTTTGACATCTTTTGTGTGAGACTGCCAAAAATCAACTGATGATCAAACAGAAGGGAAATCAGCACTCAAAAACCTTTCCTGGTGTAAGGTCATCCCTGAGGACTGAATTATCCCAGGAAATCTCAAGAAAACCCCTTGCAGGAACTTGACGTCAAACTTGGTCCCATGAAATTCCTGATGGATTAGATTTCTTTCCATGGTCTGACAATTCATCCTTCTTCGAAGTTGCGTATCTAAATTCAGACATCAACTTATTCACTTTTTCTAATTTCCAAAACAGAGGTCTTGAGTCAGTGAAACATGCATTTTTGTGGGGGAGAAAGAATGAAAAAATTACAGGAAATTGTGATTGGTGATATCATAGGCCTCAAATTGCTCTTTAATAAGTTGAAGGATGCTGGACTTGGAGACAAGGGTTAAATTCCCAGTCTTTTACTTCCTTTCCAACGCATCAAATAATGTTTTTATTGCTCAT